GGAACGCTCTGTTCCTTGTCAAATGTTTGCTGATAATGACGTTAGTACAACTTTGAATTGGTTGGGTTTTTCTGACCATTTGGTCAAAGTTTTTTTTTTCCTGCAATTTGGGTAGTTCTTTCAGTGTCAGTACTTTTGGTGATGTCTCCATGTTGTTTCTTATTTACCAACTTGGATCCTTTTGTCAGAGTTTTTCTGTTTACCATTATATGCTCTAAAGAATTTTAAATTCAGAAAATTGCGCTGTTTTTTCTAATTTCATTCAAAAGCAGGATCATATGAGTGATGCTTTATGACTTATATATGTAATCTGATTTTTTTTTTTTTGAGAGCTCATATTTTGCCAACAGTTTCATTCAGTCAATTATTGTGATACATGCGTAAGATGTTCAGTTATACAGGTTCAAGATCCCTTTGAGGCAGAGAATGTATTTCATCAATTACTTTCTTGACTCTTTGGAGTACAGTAAACCATTATAGGGATGCTTGTCTGTCATTGAATTTATAAAAAAAAAGATCCTTTGATGCACTCAGTGGGTGAGAGATACTCATCGGCTGTAGATGGTGGTGTTTTGGTGTCTGTTTGATACTGTTGGTACCCCTTTACTCTTTCTTGTTTTGTTTGGATGTTGAATGACATAATGTGATTGCTTCACTACGGTTAGTTAGGTGACACCAATGTATCAAACTATTTGGGTGTCATCCTTCAAACATTTAATTTTTCTCTGATAGGCAATCCAAAACTGTTCAAGAAAGAAAGTATCAATCAGAGAATATTTGCCTCAATAACTTGGCCCATTAAATGAAAATGCATTAGGCTTGAAAGACAATTTATTATATGAAAGGAAGTACATAGATACTTTTTATGAGGCGGTAGGATGGTCAGGGTAAATGTTTATGTATTTTTCCCATGAACAGAATAGATTGTTTCGTATGTTCTGTTGCCAGCTTTGTTTCCAACTTATATATCTCTGTACATGAATATGTCTCTTGATTTGTTTCTTTAGATAATGGACATTTCATTAAGTAACTACATGTCTCTCGATGCCTATACCTACTGAGTGCCATTTGATTCAGTGGGAAGATATTTTTGCAGCTGCAATTGTCAGTTGTTTCAGAAACCAGAACTAGATTATCCATTGAAAACTTCAGAGTAACCTCATGATCCTTCAATAATTTAATAGTGGCATCTGAAATCTATGACTTGTTTACAGGAAATAATCTGTTACCCACTTGCAATGCTTCAAGTAAACGTGAACAACTGGTTCTTGAGCATTTACCTAACTAACTGTGTTGAGGTAACCATGCAGAAGTGCAGAAACTGTTCATAATCTAGTTTTTCAGACCCTGCATGAAAGTGACTCGGTGATATTAATGCCGTATAGTTTTGGAAAACCTGTTTAAGGAAGTGCTTAAATGTTGTTGGTACTTGTTAGTGATGCCTTTTGGTTACAGTTAGTGTTTTTTTTAATCAAAATTGTTGACCCTGGCCCTCTTGGTTTGCTATCTGTCAATCTCACTGCTGGGCTTAATTTGACATGAACTGATGGTCAATTTATAGTGTAGCTCTTAAATTTAACATGGGTATGATACCATATATGTATACTTGATTTGTAGTGCCTCTCAATGTTATGAGTAGAGCGTTCTTAGCTGATCAATTTTGTAGATGCTCTTCTCAATCTCACAGTGCAATTACCATGACCCTAATTGATTACCTGAAATGCATTCTCTGTAGTGTTGCCAAAATGAAACCATATAATAATCTGTCCTTCCTACCATGCATATGCTTCACACCTTGCTGCAGAAATGTTGTTTTCTCCCATGTCACATTCCTGATGCACTTGCACGGGTACCTGACAACCCTTGAAGACATTTCAGCCATTTTCAGGTTAATTTCCAGTCAATAGCACCATTAAGCCTGACCGTCCTATCAGGTACATGTCCTTCTCCTTGCTGCATCCCCAGCTGCACCTGGAGTGCTGCATTGGGGAATCTGAGAATGTCTTGTGCCTTAAATTAACACCATATCATCCATCGGTGCGAAGTCGATCGTCACGAAGGCGTGATCAGCGATCGTACCTTTGATGATGGGTGCCCAAGTACTGGTTTCTGTACATGTTCTTGGAGGTGGAGATGGTGGTTGAAATCTCTCAGAGAGAGGCACACTCCCACACACCTCATGGCAGCATGTCACCTGTTCATCTCTCTTTCAGGAACATCTTGTTCTACATACTTACATTGCTCAATTTTGAGCGATTCGATCTAATATGCGGTTTTCGCTTTCGGAGAAGGCGTCCATTTTCGATGATCATACCTTCTTCTCCTCTTGCAGCTGCTGGGTGCCTTGACTTGCTAGGAAATAGTTTGCAGCTCCTTTTCCATGGATGCTGACCTCCTACTGTCCCTTAGCTGCATTCCCTTTCCATGATGATGACATGCTACTTGAACACTTTTCATCAGAGTATCAGATTCTGCTGCAAGGTGCTTCCCTCTCTGTGTGCCACCTTGCAGCAACATTAGGTCACTCACCCCCAGTGCATAAAATCTATATGATCTTGCAAATTGTGTTTTCCTTTTTGAGTTCAATGTCTCTCAGACAAGTTAGGCTGGATCGGTGTTATTTACCTTATCTTTCTTTGGGTAAGGAAAGGAAGAACTTTGAAGCCAAGACAGGGTAATATAGAGTAGTAGGAAAGTGGAGCTGTTGCATCTCCAAACAATTGGAACTTGTGTTTCTACTTTGCCGGCATGAAAGCAATTTTTAAGCAAGTTTATCATGAATGCCCCGGCATTGCAAACATGGACCTTTTTTTTATCTAACAAACTCGGTGAACTTTTTTTTTCGGAGCTTCGAAAATGGTTGAGTGGTATGGTTCAAATAAGAGTAAAAAACAATCAAATCTTGGGATTTCATTTTTTTTCCAATAAAACCCAGTAAAAGAAGGTGCAATGGAATTTCAGTAGAAGGATGCAAGAAAGAGAAAGTTCTACAGGGTGCAGAATATAGGCTTCCTGCTAGTAGCTGCTGCACACAATGTCATGGGACTGTTCATGTGCTTGGTTCATCAGGGAAAATGATAAGACATCTGCACCAATTATTGTGAGTGCCTATCTAACTTTGCATGTTCCTGTTTACATTTTAAAATTTCTTTCTTCATTTTTCATGGAAAAAACAACAGCCTAATCAATGCCTGAAGTCTGAACTCTGTTCTTCTCTACGTTATTACTGTTTCAACAGGATGGCACAGTGTTATTGATGGTAACGGTTTTCTCTATCTGTTAATCTGACCTGCTACATAATTGTCATCATTTTTCTTAAATCTCCTCCATTCTGGCACCATCAAACCAAAATCTCTTTAGGAGAAAAAAACCAATCCAAAAGCAAAAGTTAATTTGAAAAGAAACAAATATGAAAAACAATATGTTACTACACATCAAAGGACAACTAAAATTGTGTGCATGAAGACGTAGGTAGATATTGTGTCATACTGTCATAAGCAAAGGCTCAACCAAACGCCACTAGATAGATAGGAGCATCATCAACTTCACCTAACAAAGAGGCAACAGTATCACCGGTGGAGATGATGGATGATGAGTAGTAGTAGACAGGCAGCCTTCCAATGGCTAATGCACACAATTATAGCATAATTAACACACCAAAAGAGCCATGATTAACCTAGAGAGGAATCATTTGGTAATTGGAGGAGAGGGCTCATGAGGAAATATGCCCAAGTTTTCCTTTACTTCCTCTCTTTTCTCCAGAAAAATATATGGTGTGATTTCTCCTTTTTTGTTATTTATATGTGATGCATAGACCAAGAACAAAAATAAAGGGTAATGTTATACAGATTTTTCTTTGCAAAATATTTTTCAAATATAAATGTTAAGTACCATTGTATTTCTATTACATTGAAGACACATTGCATATGGTGCCCAATTTTTATGCATTTGAGTACCTGATGGAGACTACAAATACAAAACATACACCCACGATGTTCTAGTAATTTTGCCAGATCTTTCTAAATATTTTTTTTGAAAAGTATACTATCTCAGTATTTCTTTTCGACAAAAACATTTTTTCCATACCATCACAAAATGCAGTTTGGGTAGGCCTAGATGAAGAAGGTTTCTTATTCAACAGTATCGGATTATAGGATATAAGGGGTTTAATTTCATTTTTTTTATAAAAGATTTATATAAAAAAGTGGTGTTTTAGATGGTACCTAATTCTGAGGCATTGAGTACTTGGGATGCAAGGGTACAAGTACAAAATGTGTAAGACACATGAGGCCGGAGAAAGTGGTTGTGAACTTGTGATGGGATGTTCGTTAAAACTTAAAAGTTGTGTCGCCTTAATATTTATTTATTTAGCACTTCATTGAGGGCATTTCTTAATGTTAATTATTCGCATAGTCTCACGTGCTGCTTACATAAATAATATAGTCCTTATTAAGGGAATGGGGAATGATATTGATATATGTGAGATGTCATTAGCTAAGCTATTAAATACAGGGACTTGGTTCCTCTCCAAAAATATATATATACAGCGACATTGCTGCCGAAATACTAATCATGAAATTATATTTCATTGCTTTAATCACGTGTTTTCAGCTTATAAACAACAGCAAAGGAACTCAACCATATTATAAGAGAGTTACTCCCTCTATCTCAAAATAAATTGAGTTCGAAATTTGTTTCAAAAGCTTAAGTCCGTAAATTAAGAAATTTTATCCATTCAGTATCCTTTACTCATACATCGATACTACTTTTACTTTGCCTTTTTTACACCACTCATTTTTTCTTGGGATGTAATGGTTCGATTTATTTTGGGACTGAGCGAGTATCTCTGAATCAAAATGTTCATCTTAGTGTAAATTGGATTGCCCAACTTCTTTATGTATATTAAGGGGACATGGTTTCTCTAGTATATATACTCCGATAGTTCTATTTTACTTATTGTTTAGATATTAACAAAGTCTTCATTAGACATTGTTCACTACTACATTTACAATATTATTAAAATGCTATACAAAAGTACTTTTATCATGAACTACTAATTACTCTGTGCCGCTGCACTTAATTTAACTGTTGTGCAGCCAATACAAACAGTGTGTTGTGTCTGCAGCTACAGCGGCTACGGCTGCGTGCAGCGGCTGCCCTGACCAGCCGAAAATGCCCAATATATGTTTATAGATTAACTGTGATATTTGTTTGTATGCATGCATTCTAAATCTCAATTAGTTTTTTTTTTTGCTAAAACGAATTGCACATAATGTACAAACCTCATGTTGTTGCACTCTAAGCATGTATTAGTCTTCAATTGGCCGCCGACAGGCAGGCATCAAATCGTGAACCGGAGGATGTTTGGTGAAGCGTACGGCATCAGGACCATGAACACTTTGGAACGGAGCTGCCTAGTAAATACTAAACAAAACAAAATAAGTTTAGGGAGTATTAGCATGTAGACGTCTATTAAAAAGGACTTTTAAATTTGGTTTCTAAAGAGAAGAAACAAACAAAGGGTCGACGCAGAAAAGGACATTACCGTGACGGCTATTGTTGTATTTTAAATTTGATTGAATTCAGTGGTTTTACTTTCTTTGCAGAAAGGATGTTGCTCATTAGCTCCTTGATTAATGGACATCTAAGGCCTCTTATATGGTTAACAAATCACATCAGCCCAAAAGTAGTGTAGAACCATCGATCGTATATAGCAGGCCAAATGGCCAATATATATATGGAAAAGTAGACCATTTTACACCCTAACTAACTAACTATAACTATATATATATATATATATATATATATATATATATATATATATATATATATATATATATATATATATATATATGTGTGTGTGTGTGTATATAGTTATTCAGCACATAAAAAAATATCGAAAAACGTAGGCATTAGGGAGGCTTTTTTCTTTTTGCGAGTGCAGCTTATAAGCCAAGAACACTTGATCAAAGCAAACGGAAAACCAGTTTTAGACTAAGATTTTCATACTTTTTCTCTTGGAAGTCTAGCATGAGCTGAGCGACAGAAAAAAAACTAAATTAATTCTAAAATTAAGTTTTAGAATTGAAATTTCAAATTGTTTGATGTCATTTCCTTTCAACTCCTTGGTGTAGAATCATTAGGTTTATTGTGTATTCCATATAGTAGAAAAATTTATTCTAAATCCCCCAAAAAATGCACATGATAATTTTATACATGACTGTATTTTGCTTAGGCCTCTTCTAGGTTGTAGCACTGGCCTGTTGATTAATTCTGGCGAGCCAGGCCCAACGTTTTAGAAAGCCGGTATTGCAGAGATACTGGCCTTGGCCTGAATTTATCAAACATAAGTTCATATATCAAATATCTAGGCCTAACAAAATGTAGCTAATTTTAAATTGAAATTTAATATATTTCTACCTATTTATTTTGGGTTCAAACGACACCAGCCAAATTACCAGTTCACCACCGTTTTTTTTTTAACCTAGGCTAGGACTTGCAAGCATCAGTCAGGAAGGTCTGGGATCAAGAGGTAAACAGAGCAGACTATGATTTGTACAAATAAATAAATAAAAAAAGACCTCCCTAGGACAAAGAAACAGATCAGACTGTGTGTTCGCACCTCCTGGTTGGGAACACTTCCCTCCATTAGGAAAAACGGAGCATGCCATTAGCACGTCATTAATTAAGTATTAGTTTTTTTAAAAAAAATAGATTAATATGATTTTTTTAAAACAACTTTCGTATAGAAACTTTTTCCAAAAAACACACGTTTAGTAGTTTAAAAAGCGTGCGCGAGGAAAACGAGGAAGATGGGTTGGGAAAACTGTGATAAGAACACAACAGAACCGAAAGCTTGTCAATTTCTGAACAACTCCCTGCCACTTTCATTATACTGACACTCCAGCATGTTTGAAAGATCCAGGTTTTAAAATATTTAAATGGCTATAAATAAAATATTGTTATAAAAAGGTTAAATAATAAAAACAATCAACCAGACCAGGGTGGACGAAATTGTGCAAAAAAATATCTTTGAGATCAGTTTTAGAATATAATGAGATTATTTTATAACTTGTAAGTCACTCAATGCTTCTAGGAATCTGCTCTACTCATATTTTTAAGACGTGGAGAGAATTGATTCAACATGATCATGTGCAAATACATTGAAATGTGTCATGATTTATCAGTAAGATAGTTAGGCTAATACAATTTCAAAACTAAAATTACAATGATAAGATTTTAAAATGCATAAATATTCCTCTATTCCAAAATATAAGGATTTCTGAGTTTTATATCTTGTTTAAAAAAAAAAAGGTTTCTACCACTATTCACAGTACTACTTGTCCCATCAATCATTTCTCCAAATTTCTCCCATCTTACCCCTACCTACCCTCTCACCTCCATTATTTTTGTTTTTATTGAGAGACACCGAAGTCTTTTCTCCTTAATTTTAATCTTTGATAAACATCCTAGAAATGTTTATATTTTCAATGGAGGGAGTAGCTTATAAAGAACAAATGCATAGACTAATCTACATTTGACCAATATGTGCTGTAAATTCAGGGACCACAAGACCATAATCTTCAGTTCATGTTCAGTACTGCGTACCTAATGAATCATTCCCAGTTTCTTCTGCTGTAATTGAACTATTTATTGCGAAATATGTTCCCGCGCCCCAAACACCAAATGGACCCAGCAAGGAAAACTCATCCATGATTCCTGCAAGAATGCAGGGTTGTGCACCCATCCAAGACTGCAGATGAAAAAGAGTAATTCAGCAAAGAGTCACTGTCAGATCACCAAAGTTGTAGAAAATGCAGCATTGAGATTTTTGCCAGGCTGAAGGATTGGCTCACCAAATTTTATTAAGAGGAAAAGGAGGGTTACAAGTGTTTGCAAGATCGACATTAAGCTGTCGAGGTGGGGTGACAACTGCACCGGTATTAGCCCCCCAAAAAAGACAAAGACATTGCAGGGGTTTCAATTAATCACACTCTCAAAAAATTCATGCTTCCTTCCAAATGATGATTTCCTCTCTTATATCGTTGTAATGCAGCACTGGGATCTCCTAAGCCTTGCCTGGCTGCATGCTTACCTTGTGTACAGGAAAGAATGAAGGTTAGCAGATCGTCGAACCAACACAAATGGTTACAACTTACAAAGACATCTTATCCTGATCGTTTCGAAGACTCAGGCACATTGGTCTTCAGGGCTGAAGGGTTCTCTGTTGAAACTAAGATCCGGTACAATCTTACAATGTTGTGTCGTCCAACAGCACCCATATTACTACATCAGAATAAACGTATGATTCAAGAAAGCAAACATGGTATTTCTGAAGAACCAAAACAAATAAGTGTATGTGTGATTCTTTTTAAAACTTATCAGGTTAATCTAGGAACAAAATAGAGGAAATGTACATGTTAGGTTAGAATCTAGAACTGCTGAGTCAAAAGTTCTCACCTTAATTAAGTTTAAACTGAATGCAAATTGACAAGTTTGATATCCCAAGATGATGAATTTACTACTAGTAGATATGAAATGAAAACTGCTGCATACATGTATGGCAACTCAACCAGCTAGTATGGGGAATGGGTATGATCATTGCTGGAAAATATATGGCAGCTCGTTATGTACCAAGCAGAGAAGTTGACGAGATACCTTCAGCTTCAAAGAAACTAGCTTGCTAGCAAGACCCATCTCTTTCTATTCTGAAGTATTGAGACATTCAAATGGTCTGACATGCAACTGTTGCTGCATGTGCTCTTAGGAGAATATCATCAATCAACCATTCTGATGCCCATCAATAGGGTAATTTCCATGCACAAATAAAACAATCATCCGGCTTAGAAACCATTAATTCACAAAGAAAACCATTGAAGGTTTTGCTCATGCCTAGCTATGTGGAAAGACTGAATGCAGAAGCCACCTCTTGTCGCTAGCAGTTTGGTGATGAATACAAACAAAATATTAGGGAACAGAAAATAGAGAAAAAGGGAAAAACGGTTCGATACATAGGTTCTATAAGCTGGTTCCAGCAGTAGTAATTAACTAGTCCAACTTTCCAACATCAGTATATGTCATTCTGTTGACAGCCCAAGTCTTAGGTAAGTATTCAGCACTCGTGACTTGGCAGATCCAGATGCAGCCACTCCTTATTCTAGACTCTCTCTTTTTTTTTTTTTTTGGAACTAGAAAAGCATCGCACTCCTTATTCTAGACTAGTCCAACAACAATTTATTGGGGGAATTACCACCTGATCTATGCAGTGGATTTCAGCTTCAGAAATTGCTGGTGAGAAATAACTACTTGTTGGGAATGCTTCTGCCATGTCCAAAATTGGCGTATGCTTGGATAGGGCAAAACCACTTCTCTGGTGACATTGCACAGGCGATTCGAATCAATTTACAGGGATGCTTCCTCAGGAGTTCTGTCAATTGGTTTTACTGAACTTCTTGGATCTATCAAGCAATCAGATCTATGGGGACCTCCCTACTTGCTGGTCAAATCTTCAACAATTGTTTTTCCTAGATTTGTCAAGCAATGCTTTCTCTGGCAAAGTCCCAACCTCAACAAGCAAAAGTCTTCCCATCTGCAAGAACTTAACAATGGTAGATCTCCGGGACAATAGGCTATCTGCTGAAATTTCTTCAAGGATATGGGAAAGCTTGCCTTCTCTTAAAATTCTTCAGTTATGCTCAAATATGTTCGAAGGATACATACCCTGGCAACTATCAAATCATTCTCAACTGCAGCTACTTGATCTAGCTGACAATCAATTGGTAGGTTCAACCAGCACACAGCACATTTTGCTAACTTCAGATCAATGATGCAACAGAACAAAAGGCTCAACATTGGATCAACATATGTTGCGTTCACATATTCAAATTACTTTTTGTCCCCATATTCTAACAGAATTGAACTAATTTGGAAGAGCAGATCTTATACATTTGAAAGCACAATTCCACTTCTGGCAGTTATTGATTTACAAGCAACATTTTTTCTTATGAGATACCTGCAGAGTTTGCAAACCTTAAGGGTCTCCAGTTCCTAAAATTATCAAGAAATAATATATCTGGCAGTATCCCAAATGATATTGGCAATATGAATGCCCTAGAGTCCCTGGATTTATCTTGCAATGCATTTTCAGGTCATATTACGACCAACATCTCTAGCTTAACATTTCTCAGCTCCTTACATCTCTCTAATAACCACCTGTCACTCTGTCAGGAAGGGCACCCACAGGTGGCCAGCTTGAGACACTGAACGATCCATCAATTTACAGCAACGATTATGGGCTTTGTGGAACTGTGTTGAGTGCATGCCCAATTGAAAGTTCCAGATTTGGATCTGAACCAAATAAGGATGAATTTAGGTCTTTACTAAGCCACAATCATAGGGATTGTTATTGGATTTTGGCTATGGTTTGACTCACTATTCTTCATTGATTTATGGAGGATTGCAGTTCTAACCTGCATTGATTATGTGCAGAATAAGATTATGCAAAGAATTCGGTGCATTGGCATCGATTGTGGTATTAACAATGTCGGAACGTAAGAGGATTTCTGGTAGTCTAATTCCGTACGGTGGTTATCATATCTGTCTACACTGAAAAACAATTATGAAACCATAGCAGAACCAAAGTAACTGTGTGGCAAAATACAACCACAACATCCTTATATTAGATAGAATTAGATTTATAGGGCAACTCTAATGCTTATAATACTTTTACAGCCCGATGTTTCTTTTAACAATGTCATGGATGATTCACAATAATGTTTCATGTCAATGATGTTTCTTCTAGGTAGAGCTCTCCTACCTAGATCATCCCCCTCTTGTCTACTCTACTCCACAAGTTTTGTAGCAGTACATCCTAGTGCAAACATTATAAACATCGACCTATTTCTCTAACATAGTTTAATTCAATCAAGCCGGTGCGCTAATACCACAGTATACTCTGGACCCCATAGCAACCATAAACAGAAAATATAGTATAGCTGAAATGAGGCAAAAGCGGCAACTTCATATAAAAAGTTCAAAAGGGAGCACCTCATTATTTGGGTATCCACCAGATGACAAATCATCAGAAAATGTGCAAGAGAATAGAATCAGTTACCAATCCACTTTACACATGTTTATAGCTTAATGATAGTCCACATCAAAACGCAATTACATGAAGCACACACAAGCGACATCTGCATAGCTATGGGGATTGTGGACACCTTGCCAGTTACCACCATGAAAATCTCATCTGAACCATGCTCAAAGCATCGCATTATTTCGTGAAATTAGTGAACATGCAGTTGGTCATTGGTTCAAACATTTCTACTCAATGCCTAGAAGTTTGAAGGGATCGAACAAAACCTCAACAGCAAAGAACATGAGCAAATCCTCCTAAACACGCAGCATCCTTAAGATTCCTAATCGTCCCCAAACGAAACCACATAACACTAAAAGCGTAAATGAAATGCCATTGTTCACCAATCCGGAGATCGGCCTACCTACCACGGGTAGATTGGGGTAGAGCGGACGCCGGAGAAGCGCCTCCGCCGCGGGCCGCACCAACTACAACGCCGCCGCCGCCGCCGCCCCATGAATGCGGCCGGGACGCCGGAGAGGAGGACGGGCTCGGCGCGTGGGCTTGGTAGTCGGGCCGGGCCCAGGGAAAGGGGAGATCTGGGCCACGAGTCTGTGGCCTGTAGGGCCACGGGCCCACGGTGCCATCTGGCAAGCCCTTGTATAACCATTTTAAAAAAAGTAGGGGCAAAAATAAAAACCAGAAAACAGAGGTAAAATCAATATTAGATATGAAATTACCCCTATTTCATTTTATTTGAAGATGTTTAATTAGGGGCACCTCATAATTTGGTTCATAGGATCACAAGCACATTGGCCCATGGTACCACCATTTTTTTTTTCAAATTTGATATTTGAATCAAAAAGTAGTAGAGAGTATATATTGACAGCGGACCACGGCTACGTTGGTAGCATATCGAACACCCATGTATCAATGGAAGGTAGAAGCCTGTCTCAAAAATATATAAAATAGCTAATCTATCTGTATTTATAATACTACTCTCATATTTCAACACAATCTTACATACTTCATTCCTTAGTCAGGATCATGTCGCTGAGATCCAATGTTCGAGATCGCTCCCCCCTCCGCCTTGCACTATAACCGCATCATCCCGCCTCCTATCTTCCTCATGATTCTCCTCCCCTTTCCTTCCAATTTTCCGTGCTGTCACCCACAAACTGCGACGATCTAATTGTATCAAGATTTAACCTCCCATTTATATGACCTCGTGCACCGTCGTGGCAGGGACCTCTATTGTCTACTGCACATCCGCGGTGGCATCAACCAACTCCTCTGCCGCAGCCGCCTCCAAATTTTCTAGTTTTCGTTATTTGTAAATAGTATTGTTATATGGATACTAAACTATTCTTTCAATACTCTTATTTTTTTTAATTCCGATGTTTAGTTATTTATAAATTGTATCATATATGGAGACTCTTTTTCCAATATTCTTTTCTTAATTATGGATTACCGTTATTTCTAAATTGTATTCTTACAAGAACTTTAGACTCTTCCCCCAATTTTCCCTTTTTTTTCTTTAATTTTGAATTTTACTTATTTGTAAATTTTTATTGCTATATGGATTCTAGACTATTTTTCTACTTTTAGTTTTTCTTTTTTCTTTAGTTCCTAGTTTCAATTAGTTCTAAATTCCTATATGGACTCTAAACTCTTCTTCCAATATTCATTTCTTAATTCTGAATTTTGTTATTTCTAATTGTATTTCTATATGGAGTCTAAACTCATCTTTCAATATTCTTTATTTTTCTAATTCCAAATTTCAGTTTTATATAAATTGTATTCCTATATGGACTCTAGCCTCTTCTTCCATTGTTCTATGTTTTGCTATTTTATATTGTATTTCTATATGGATTCTAAACTCTAATTTTTTCTTTATTTTGAATTAGTTCTATATTCCAGTTTAGACTCTTCTTACAATATTCCTTACTTGTTAATTTCGGATTTCTATTATTTTTAAATTGTATTCTTCTTTCAATAGTTCATATTTTTTAATTCATATTTCAGTTATTTATAAATTGTATTCTTTATGGACTATATACTCCTTCTTCCAATATTCCTTATTATTTTAGTTTCTAATTTAAGTTATTTATAAATTGTATTTCTATATGTACTTTAATGTCCACTTCTATTTTTCTTATTTTTTAATTTTGATTTTCAATTAGTTCTAGATTGTATGCCTCTTTTAATATTTCTTATTTTTAATTCTTAATTTCTATTATTTTAAAATTGTATTTCTATATGGACTCTATTTTTATTTTTTTCTCCGATTAATATAAAAAATTCTAGACCATGAGAACGAACGTAGAAGCTCCTTTTTCTAAGACTTTAAATAAGTTAATGGATATTTCAAGAATTAATTTAACCTCTCCTCTTTAATTTCATATTTCTAAAATATTAGTTAATATATGATACAACATAGATTATTTGTTGCTTGTTTTGCAAGATCTACCTAGTATTTTTTTTCTGATCGTTTGCTTATTTATCTAGAAGACGGATAATATTGTCACCCCTTATGATCTGTTTGCTCGCTAATTTGAAATGAATAAATAAGCTACATACGGTGTAGCTACCCGCCTAACTTTGTTATTATCAATTATCATATACTCCCTCTATTCTAAATTCTAAATTGATCATCATATATTTTTATACACCAAGACCAAGTATAATTTAAATTGCATCAATCAAGACATCATGCATATATTCTCCCACAATACATGCATCGATTAAAACACCATGCCAATTACTCCCTCCAATTTCAAATTAGTTGACGCTTGGAGCTTGGACCCTTTGGATAATAAAACTTGACGTTTTAGCCTCCATGTGATTAATTTAGTCTGATCTACCTCTGCATGGCTGCATGCACGCATCGAGTCCTGCACAAAACAGTAAGAGCAAGTTTAATAGTATAGCCAGCTATTAGCTCCAATTCATCTATAGCTAAACTAGTAACTCATTCATACAATAGTTACATACTACACTATTAATACTTGGTCCCACTTATCATACGCACACTGTGTCTTGTAATCCGTGCTACAGTTGGCTACAAATCTATAGCCCACTACTCTTCTCTCTCCTCATTTATCTCCTTAAAATATGTTTACAGCCGGCTTATAGCATGCTATTGTACTTGCTATTAGAAGATGCTTTGGGACTAGCAGCCAACCACTAGGTTAAGAGGATGTGCTTGTTAGATGTGCCATCCTAATGTATTTAATATGGGTAAAACATAAATATGCACCCTAACTAACCATTTCTTGGTATGTGAGATATTGTCTAAAACGTAAATTAATTTGAAACTGGAGGGAGTACACCTTAGCATGCACCCAATGCTACATTAATTGTATCCGTATCCGTGCGGTTATATGATGATCAATTTGAGAAATTTTAGATTTCATTATATGATGATCAATTTGGGAATAACGAGTATATTTTTCTGATCATTGATATGATAAGTGAGTACCTCTAGAAAATCACATGTATTTTTACGCTATTTTTCATAAGTCCCCTGTATGACGTCGTTGATTTTTTAACCAATATTTGACCATTCGTTTTATTAAAAAAAATATGTTATTATCGTTTATTTTGTTGTGACTTGATTTATCATCAAATGTTCCATGTCATAAATATTTTTTATATTTGCAAAACAAAATTGAATAAGACACATAGTCAAATATTATTAAAAAGTCAATGGGGTCATACATTAAAAATACGGAGGGAGTACTCGTTAAAATTCTGGCTTCGTCACTGGTTGCTACTAAGTAGTACCGCCTTAAGAGCAGATACAATAGCAGGCTATAAACCAGCTATAAACATATTTTAAAGAGATAAAAGAAGAGAGAAGAGCAGCGGACTACAGATATGTAGCCAGCTGCAGCACGGACTTCAAGACGTAATGTGTGTATGACAGGTGGGACTAAGTATAATAGTATAGTAAGCAACTATTGTATGAATTGACTATTACATTGGCTATAGATGATTTGTAGCTAGTAGTGGGCTATACTATTAAACTTGCTCTAAGTGCAACACAAGGGACAAAGGTTTCCACTAAATCCAGAGAACCTCGTACGCCATCGGCGTTCGTCTATCTACATAGGAGCTGGTTAATTAGTCGCCGGCCGACCGACACGGCCATAAATTCCGTCGGATCGTCGGAGATCGACCACCGTGCCATCCCATCCCAACCCCCTCGATCGCTGCTGCTGCGAAATTGAATGATCCGCCGCCGTTAATGGCGCCATTAACTGCAAACGCCGTATAGTAGCAGCAGCAGCAGCAGCAGAGCACAGTGCAGGAACAATGCCGGGAACAGCAACAACCTAGGAGCAGCAGCAGCAGAGCAACTTGTACTAGTAGCTACTACAAGTGGTAATACTACTGGAGTAGGAGTAGTAGTAGCAGCAGCAGCAGCAGCAGCATTGAACACGGTCACTCGCGCCCCGTGTACGTAAGTTGTAGTACTACTCTCGTTACCACGTCGGCACGTCAGGGTACGAAGAGGAGAAGAAGAACAGGATCAAATGTGAGTGATCTTATATGATTCCGTAACGGAGCGGAGCTAGAACAAAATTAAAAAAAAATACTACTTGCTTAATTTACTTTATTTTAAACTTACGTGAGTGTGTCTATAAATTTATAAGTTTGTATTTAGAGAATATACACATGATAAAAATAGATGAGCTATATATAAAAGCTCTTATACTTGCTGATTCTATTTCTACCCTACAGGTATATGTACAGCTTCTCTCTCTGCCCCTTGCCGTCGCCGACTACTATACTTGCTGCTACGGCTCTGCTGGATGGTTAAAAATAGTGATGAAGTACTTCTTCATACCCAATGGCTGTGTAAAAATGGGTGTGTATGCCAAATGATTTGGTCGAGTTACACCCTTCGTCCTAAAAATGATTTGGTCGAATGCTATCCAAAAATCCTACTTCCTCCGTCTAATAATATGGTAGCAATTTAGTACTGAACGAGACACATATTAATATTATGAATCTAGACAATATTAAGATGAATCACATTCAGTACTATTAGTTTTTATATTTTGGGATGAAGTTAGTATTAAATATTTTTAGATTGGCTTAAAATGTAAGAGTTTGCAAGGATTTTAACATGAGATCCACCCTCTTAGGAAAAAAAATGTGTCTATATACATCTTCCAAGTCCAGGTTCACCCAAACTGTTATTTATGCAGGTTTCCTGTGTTTTTTCAAATTCATCCTTTTTCAATTCATAGGATTTAAGGTTAGAGCACTTCAATCCTACATTTTTTTCAGGTTCAATCCTACGGTCCATAGAAGGTTTTTCAATCCATAGAATAGAACGCAGTCCTACATTTTTCAGGTTCAATTCCACGTTCCATAGAACCCTATGCAACTTTATGGGAACGGAAGATATACTCCCTCCATTTTATACCCCATCTATCCCATAATATAAGGGATTTTGAGTGGATATAACATATTCTAATACAATTAATCTGGACATACCGTTTGTATAGATTTACTATAATAGGATGTATCACATCCACCCAAAATATCTTATATTATGGGACGGAGGAAGTACTATAAAAGTCCAAAGAAGCCTATGCAACTTTCCCCTTTTTGGGGCAATTGTAAATTTACCACTATTTTGAATCATTATTGCAAGACTGCCACTAAAAAATTGTAAAAATACCACTACAACTGTCATTCGAGTGTCATCCTTGCAATATTGAAAAAACCGGTGGCAAATTTGCAAATGCCCCTTGTTTTTATATTACTCCCTACATCCCATTTTAAGTGCAGCCGCGCTCAACTTTGATCGTCTGTCTTATTTAAAAAAATTTTGAAAAAATTAATAAACATAAACATAATTCATGTTTTATCATCTCATAACAACAAAAAATACTAATTATAAAAAAAATTCTAATAAAAAAATTTCTAATAAGACGGATGATCAAAGTTGAACGAAACTTATGATTACACTTTAAAAAACTTATGATTGTTTTAAGACG